TCCCTCTCCCTCTTTCTCTCTCTGTCTCTCTCTCTCTTTCCCTCTTTCCCTCTTTCCCTCTCTATCTCTCTCTCACACACATGCATTCTCACTCATATATATACACAAGGACTCACTTATTTATACAGATGTATGCGGTATAGCGACTGGGCGCTTCTCTGTCGCGCGCAGGAGACCCGAGTTCGATTCCCGAGTGGGTTGAATTTTTATCGTGTGTCTCGATCTTTCTGCAGGGATGTTGTGTTCCTCGTAGCCCGGGTTGGCCCTGACAGGCGGAGTCAGAAACCGGCTGCCTAAGTGATCGAAATTGTGTCGATAGGGACGTAAAAAAACAACCTACATTTAAAACGTTTTAAAGCAGGTTCGTATGCACACATTCACGTTCTCGTGCACACACGTAGGTTCACATACACATTTCTTTCTTTCTGCTTGAGAATCAGAATTACTTGACACAAAGAAAGAACATTACTGAGAATGTTTTCTCTAGACATCGCCTCGCGTCGATCTTCTCCACTTCCAGTCCCAACTTCCAAACTTTCCCACCCAGGGGGCAAAGAAAACAATATTCCAGATAACCTGGAATTTAAAATTATACTGTGCATAGGAACATGTTAATATCCCCCTTTGGGAATGGCCTAAAGACAACTTCAGTCAGTGGCACTGCCCTGGTTGGGGGAGTGGGGTGGTGGGTGGCCTGGCGTGTTTAGTTTACATTCAATACTACAGAAATACACATTAAAGTAAAAGGATAGGCCTACCCCCCCTCACCCCCCACCCCTGGGCGGTGCTACTAACTGAAGTGTCTTTAGGCCATTCCCAAAGGGTGGTTGGGGGGGGGGCATTTACATCTCGAGTTTTTATGCACAGTAGAATTGTAAATTGCAAATGGGCTGATTCATCAATGTCATGCTCACAACTGTGCCTGAACTGCAACAGTTAACTGCTGCTTTTTCATTCCTAGTCCTTACTATGGTCATTTTCCTCTACTTCTTTTGTAGTTTGTCACTCTCTTGTGACCCGCTATTCCCGGGGTGCCTTGATAGTCGAAGCAGACTTTGTGCTGTTGAAAC